TAGGCATATATATATATACACTGGGACATCTTGATAATTCAAATGTATGAGCAAAAAATACACAGATGAATTATAGACAACTTCTACAGCAAGATAACTATAGAAACGGAACACAAAACAAGGGAATCAGACCCTACATTTTAAGATAAATGCTTTATTAAAAATTGAATCAAGATCTGATCTTTCAATTTTATACTTACTACATATGAAAAGTAACCTAAAAATAAGTTAACTTTTTTTAAAAAAAGGTGATCATCAACACTACTAATCAGGAAAGTCAATACCATACAAATTTCGGACAGAACCTGAGAGGAAAAGAAGTAGTTCAGTAACAACAATTTGATTAAATGCAAAATTTTCCTAAAATACCTGTACTACAGTACCAGCTGATCCATATTTCAATCGGACTGTATTTTTACATCAGACTACAGTAACAAAATAAAGATGACATTTTGATTTGGGGTAGTCAGCATTCTGGTGGAGTCCTGTTCCCATACAAACAGTTTCTTCACAAACGATCAAGGGCATTCTATGTCATCAGAAGTAAAATTGTATAGCTAAGATAGTTTACAAAAAAAACTCAATGAAGGTTCATTATTAGCAAAACAAAACTGCTAATCTGTTACTCAGTTTCCAGAATTTACAATTTACATCGCAGCAATAAACACAAGAGACCATAAGAGTAATTATTGTGACTAGAGTTGAACAAGATCTGTGTTTTTTTTAAAATCGGACAGCCAAATATTAGGATAAATATTTTTACAGTAATGTATCAGTTTACTTTCAATAAGCAGAAATCAACAACATTGAATCTACTGTTCTTAAACTGTTTAAAGTAGATAAACAGAGCCCTCATGATGTTAGATACCATTGCAATATAACAATTTAAGAGTTACAGTAAGGAAGAATTTCCCACTCCAAATACAAGCTCAGCGGAAAACATGCATGGTGTGCAACTACTATGCAACATAAAATTATAATAGCAATCACCGTAAAACCAAGACAGATTCTAATTGCACTTCCAACTTAGAAGCGATGTTCATATGACAAGCATAGCATAGGTATACAAATCTAGATAACATAAGATAGAATTGAAGGAAATTAGGCACATCAAGCTTGTTCCTTGTCGATCCATCAATGTCTCAACAATAAAATTTGTGTAATCTTAAAATAGGCTGAGATTGCAAGTCAACTGAAACCTCAGAACATCTAATCTTACAATGTACTTCTTTAGAGCTCTAAAGTGCTTCAGAACACAATAACTAAAGGCAATGCACCATTTTAGTGATGTGAAGTCAAACTCATTAATACTTGAGCACAAGTCACCTAAAACGTGTTTTCAGGTAAATGACAATCACCATTATCCCCAATATCCGTTGACCCTTCAAAAAAATGACATCAAAGAGCTCTGACATTGATATGAAGTAGCATTAAAGCATACAAGATTAGAAGGTCACAGATTTGATTCCAACTGCAGTTACGAAAGACTTCCAGAGAGAGAAAACAACCAGGATTCCTATAATAATAATAATCCTTGCATTTGATATAGCACTTTTCACGCCGGGAGGACGTCCCAAAGGGCTTCACAGAACACACTGTAAAGTGAATTAACTGTATATCTGTGGACGAACGCGGCAGCCAATTGCGCACAGCGATGTCCCACAAACAGTCGTAGATTGAAAATGACCAATTTATTATTGTTTTTGGTTTTGGAGGGATTATTATTAGGCTCTGTGTGGAGTAAGGAAACTTGCCCAAGGATTCGCCCTCTGCCTGGAATTGAACTCCGGTCTCTCGCTTACAAAGCGAGTGCTCTAACCACTGAGCTACAGGACTCCACTCCTAATCCTGAACACCATTCAATAATTACTTCTGGAAAGCATTTGGGTGTTCATTTGATGACGACACTCCCCAAATAACTACTAAAACTCATATGAAGGTCAGATACAAGATGTCAAAGAGCTCTTGGTGCCTGTGGAGCTAACACAAGCACTGGAAAGCCTTGGGAAAGGGTGACTAATTTGAAGGACATCATTCCAGACATGAATGTCTACTAGACAAATTGTCCCTCCCTGGGCTTAGCATCTCAACAATGTAATTCTTAACTCAATGGTTGTGATAGCAAAACTGAAGAAAATTTCTTTAACCTCATTATTAATAATCCTTGCATTTGATATAGCGCCTCATCACATTGTTGAGACATCTCAAGCACTTCACAGAATATACTGGAAACTGAATTGACTTTATATGTTGTGGGCAAAACATAGCAGTCAATTATACACAGCAGTGTCCCACAACCAGTCGGAGCTTTAATGACTAAATTATTATTTAAAGGGATTATTACCCCTGGAAAGCGATCAGTCAATCGATTAATAATCAGGTTACTGCTAGGTAAACAGAAGCATGTTGAGTAAGGAAACTTGCCTAAGGTTTCACCCAGCCGAGTGCTCTAGTCTAGTGCTCTAATCTTGGGATCCAAATGAAATTGAGAGCAAGCACTAAACAGACGAAACTGCTCCAAGAGTCAAAATTAAAGGCTCATTGCTCACTATTTGAAAATATTTATACAACAGTGACTTATTTTTCCCACCAGTTCATCAGAAATTTATCACCCCAAAGTGAATCAGATAAATAATGAGCATGACTGCATAGATATCAATGGTAAACAAAAAGCACAACATAGCCATTAAATAAATAGCCCAAGCTACTGAAAATTATTTTACAGCCATTAAATACTAAGTATCCATGATACACATTGTATTACATAAATCCTGAATGCCACACACCAACCCCATTGCAGTTTCCTCAGCAGCCAGATGAAGTTGCTGCTGGTGACTATAGTATTTTGTCAGTGTTAAACATTCCCAATGTCTGAACACCTGTATGAAGATGCTTGGAATTAACCAATCACTCAGCCTGAAAGCCGCAATATTTTATGGCCTTCTCTGCCCCCGATAACAATAATAATCATTGCATTTGATATAGCATCTTATAGCTTGATGACAAGCTGTTTGACATTAAACTGAAGTAGTGCTGTTGTCAGGTACAGTTGAAAAACAACCAACTTGGTGGCTTCCAAAAGCAACAATGCCATTAATGCCCAATTCCTAATATGAATTAAATTTATAGCATATTTAGCAATAGGTCCAACAGTTTTAAGAAAACTGTTCACTTACAAATGCAGTACTGTGCATTTTTGGCAAACCTCCAGTTTATTTTCCTCAAACCACAGATCATCAGCATACTTTCTATATAATCTTCACAAACACTTATTTATCATCAAACGCACTTTCTATAGAAATTGATGACAATCTGGCTACCTCATCCTTCACTCATCTGCTTCACTATGATTGTGGACAATCAAAGTTAGATAAAACAATAATAAAACTAATAGATGTAACCAATTAGAAAGGCATAAAAAGAATCTTTAGAGCAACCCACAATAAAGGAGGACCAAACTTTGCAAGGATATGGTTGACGGCAACAACAACTTACACTGGCAGCATCTTGGAGCGCTTAACAATAAAGCTAAAGGAAAACCAGCTGAAAGCAGAGAAAGTCCTGTTCTCTGATCTCAACCTCCCTTCATTTAAAATGGTAAACTTTGTAATGCTCCTCGTCACATCAAAACATTCAAAAGGCTTCACAAGTAATAAGTGTTGTGACTGTTTTTGTAGGCAAACAGCAGCTATTTGCACCAGAAAGGTCCCATCAGTAGACATGAGGTGAATGACCAATTAATCTGAAGTATTGACGTTTGGGACACAAAAAGAACCCCCGTTTTCTTTTCAAATACAGTAGTAATAGCAATTGATTGCCTAGAAAAAAAAAACTTGGATTCGTCGCATTTAAATGCTTCAAAGTGCTTTGCAAGTTATGATAAAGTCTGATGTCCCTTTTCCGAAACACCCACCTAAAGGATCGGCAGACGGAATCACTTCATCCAACGGAAGGCATTTCAGAGAGTCAGTCCAGCGCTTCCTGGGTTCTGACTGCATTGGAGTGTCAGTCTGGAATATGAGCTCGATTCCCAAACTCACTACGGTGATGAATTGCAATTCCCCGGGGCATCCAAACCACAGTAAACAGCAAGGTGATTCATAAAACACTTGCTTTTTGTTTATTAAAAAAAAATCCGAGATGCAACCCGACACACACGGATTTCCACAACGAATCACCGAGAACTGGTGTGACTTCACAGCGCTTACACCACACAAAGCGCGATGCCCAGCGCCAGCCAACCCCCACGTTAGTGCGCCGCACAACTGACTCTCTCAGACAAATCAAATCCAAACTCTTTCGCTGAGAGGGGACTAAGGGCTTCGGGTTTGAAACTAACGAAACTTATAATCCCGTGTGAAACAAGGACACAGAAAAAAGTGAGAGAAAAGAAAGGAAAGAGAGAGAGAGAGAGGGGGAGAGAGAGAGAAAGAAGAAATGAAAGAAAGAGAAAGAAAGGAAAGTGTGTGTGTGTGAGAGAGAGAGAGAGAGAGAAGCCCGGACACCAACAACAACAGCACTTCATCCTGTGCCAACTCTCCCGAGGAAGCAGCAGCGTTATAACCAAACCGAACAGCACCAAACTGTACCAAGTCACAGCCGCGTATTGCGGGGCCTTTGTGAAGGAGAGGGAGAGAGAGAGGGGCCCAAGGTCAAGCAGGTAAGTTATCCTGTCATTGAGATCGGTATCTCTCCTCCTCCCCGGTGCCTCTCTCTCACACACACCACACACAGCGAGCGGCCAGAGCCGCCAGACCGCGCGCTCCCTTCAAGCCCAGCTGCGAAGGGGGCTTCAGCTCCACAAAATGGCGAACACACACACACACACACACACCATACATACACACACACATACATAACCGAGGGCCAGGCTCTCCCGGGCCAGGAACCCCCACCCCCACACACAGGTCAGGTGAGTAAGATCAGGTCTCCCCTAAATATATATATATATATATATGATATATAAATAAATAAATAAAAAAGCAGCGACAGGGACTCACCGTTTCTTCTCGGGGTTGACCTGACCGGCGGTGTCGTCGTCCGTCTGCATTTCAGAGTCTTCCATTTCTCTCTTCTCTCTCTCTCTCTCCCTCCCTCCCTCCTCCTCCTCTTCTTCCTCCTCCTCTTCTTCTTCTTCCTTTCCCCCCCTCCCCTCCTCTCCTCGGTTTTTACCTCAAGCCTCACCGGTCCGTGTCCGGCAAACACCGCCAACAACCAACGCGAACCAAACCACCAACGCTTCCGAACGCTTTAATCCTCTCTTAATAAAATCTATCAGCCTTTGCCGTTGTTGTGGTGGTGGTGGTGGTGGTGATGGTTGTTGTTGATTGAGGGGGGGGGCAAAATAATAATATTTTTTTAAAACAGAAAATAAAAGCCCCTCAAACCATCAAAAAAAAATTCTGAACTAATCTTAAAATATATATTATGTATATATATATATATATAAATATTGCCTTTAAATAAAAAAAATAATCGCACTCTCAAAACAGTCCAATCGAGTCGAGTGGAGAGTCGAGCCTCACGCCGGCCGGACCACCCCCCCCACCGCCTGCTCACAATAGTTCTGTGAGGTGATTTTTTTTTCTCTCACACTCTCTCTTTTCCTCTCTTCTTCGTCTCCCGCTTTGATAATAAATCGCGCGACACGACGCCACGAACGTCAAGCACCAGAGGAGGAGGAGGAGCGGGAGGAGCAACGGCGGCGGCGGCGTCGGTGGGTTCGTCCGCGCGCGCGGGAGGGCGCAAAAAAAAAACTTGCGCCCTGGGGGAAGGCTGAGAACTTTCTACGGCCGCTTCACTTCGCGCGGCTGCGTGCGCGGGTGGCGTGGGTCCGCGTCAGCGTTCGCGTCACGCTCGTCTCACGCCCCGCCCCCCCACCACCACCACCCTGACGTCACGCAGCCGAGCCCCCTCTCTCCCGCGCCGCGCCCCCCACCCCCAAGCTGCGCGCGCACACGCCCGACAGCAGCAGGCCCGGGAGCGTGCGCATGCGCAGAAAAGTCCCTCCACTCAGAGCCAATGCACAGCCCACAGCAGTTTGCACTTATATAATACTCCTATTTGCACTTATATAAGACAATACTACTGGACTACTTACATGTGGTATTGGCTGCCCTGGTTTATCTGGTGCTGGACAGTGGATCCGGAGGGCCGCGAGCCGTTCCGCCCACAAATTACACGGTCGCGGTATATTCTGTGGAATAATAATAAAAATCCTAATAATAATCCTCGCATTTGATATAGCGCTTTTCACGTCGGGAGGACGTCCCAAAGCGCTTCACAGATCACACACTGTAAAGTGAATTGACTGTGTATTTGTGGGCGAACGCGGCAGCCAATTGCGCACAGCGATGTCCCACAAACAGTCGTAGATTGAAAATGACCAATTTATTATTGTTTTTGGTTTTGGAGGGATTATTATTAGGCTCTGTGTGGAGTAAGGAAACTTGCCCGAGGTTTCGCCCTGACCTACCGGGGATTGAACTCAGGTCTCTCACTTGCAAAGCGAGTGCTCTAATCACTGAGCTACAGGACTCCACGCTTCAAGAGACGTCCCGGAAGACGCAATAAGGCGCTAATGCCGGGCTCCGCTCTGAGACGCTGCCCTGCGTAAAGGACGCGATATATAAGTGCAAGTTGTTGTATGTCAAATGCAAGGATTATTTATTATAGAGGACATGGCCTGCGATTGAATGTGGTGGGGGCGGAGGGGAAGGTAAATTCAGAATAAATCTTGGATTAAATCTTAACACTATAAAACTACTGTAAGTAGGATAACAGAGTGAAACCACGTGGATAAAATCACTTCTGTTGCTGTGTTAAACAGCTAATAAATATTCAGCATCGATTCTGTTCAAAATGTCTTCGATACTGTAAAATGATTTGCTTCTCTATACGAATGGCAATAGTATAACACTCGGGAAAATTTGCAACGTTTCATAACCTGTGATGATTATCACAAGGGACATGTTACAAAGGTCACAGATCTCACCACATTATCTACATCCAGTATTCTACAATGCTGCTATTCAGCCCGTCTATATGTGGACAATTTTTCACCTGGGGATTTTGCAATGCAAAATTAGACATGCGCTCATTAACCATTGTTTTTACAAATATCTTTCCTCGGTGTATTAATGAATTGTATTCACAGGGTTTGCATGAGCAAGAGGCCAGAAATTCCACAACTGTTCATCTACAGTTAGTCTTTTCAAGCCTTAAGATTGAACCTATCTTAATCAGAAAAGCATTTCCAAGCTTCCAAACATAAATTCATCAAATATTGAAGTAGAGGATGGAATCATTCAACAGTGATCGAAGATGGTGCCAAAGGCTCTGCTGATACAAAGACTGTAGCTGCCAGAGACGAAACATGGCGTCAACCTTCATTCCAGAACAGATAACATTTTGTCTTCAAGACCTACAACCTAAACAAACCCTGTCATAATGAAGATCTCCATTGAAGGTGCATATTTACCTAATGATCTCTCCAAGCCTAGAAAAACCTAATTAGTGGAATCGGGTTCAGAATCAACCGACATCTTATGTGGTTATTTCTCAGAGAAAATATTACAGGATTATTCGAATAACGGACCTTTGAGGATGTGCTTGATTCAGGGTGTATCAGTTGGATTAGAGCCAGCCACTACAGACAGGGGCATTAGGGGAATTTGTCAATGCTCACAGTGTTTGAGTATCTGCACTCCAGCTACTGTGGACCTCAGGGTTTCTCTGTTAATACTGCCTAACACTCCGCTGGTAAGACCGCTGAACCGTAGAGCACTGAGTGACAAACATCACTTCAGTTCCTGAAAGGGTCGGCTTTATTTTATGCTTTCTTCTGATCTTGCGTGTCCTCCAAGCGCTCCGAGATGCTGCCCCGCGGGAAGACCGCTATATAAATGCAAGTTGTTGTTGTCCTGGTTGCCACGTAGGCCCAGGAGCAGGTTATCACTAGTCCCCTCAGTCATAGCTTTTTTTAAAAATAAATAAATTATCGAGTCGCAATTCTGTTTATAGTCACACCTGAATCCTGCCTGAGCTCTGAAAGAGGAACCAGGCAAATAAAGTTATTCTCTTAGGAAGAAAGGTGGGGAAATTAGAGCAATTAACCTAATCTGATTCAATATACCTCAAATGGCTGGTTACAAAGGAACATTGTTAGTTAGTTGCCTGGAAACAAGATATTTATTATTATATTATTTATGACCTGTGCAAATGATCATATAGATTAGTAAACTCACAATCACATCTAACCAATGCTCTCCATTTCTATAGTCATGTGTGAAGTTCAGTAAGCACTTAAAAGTACAATGTTCCATCACAAGCACGTTTGTAAAATGTTTACTAAGCATCATCTCTGCTTCATTTTGACAAGGTAAGTGTGAGACAGGTCAGCATACACTATTTCACCATGCAGCAAATACATCATCCAGACAACTTTGCAGAAAGCCAGAACACTTACAATGCTATACAGTATTATTTATACATCCGCTGTAATACATTACCGTGTAAATTGGCCATTTCAAGTTATAAATAAGCCTTTCAAAATCGGTAGGACATCTTAAAGTGTTTTACTGGATTTATAGTGTTGTGTCTGTATATTTTGTTGGCGAATGCAGCAACCAGTTTGCGCACAGCAATGTCCCATCAAGTGAATGAACCAGTTTATACTTCGGTAGATACAATAAGTTGGATAATCTACTGTAATAATGGACTGGAATATATTTAACAGATCAGGTTTGTCATGTCAGGCATAATATGCTCCATTCACCCTTTTGTTTTATTTGGTTTCAGTTCAGTTTACCTAATTTCCTTCCAAACCATTGGATTCAGTCATTGTTCAAGGGCTTATCTCTGTGAGATGCAAGAAAGAAAAATTGCTAGGTCAGTCAAACCACAAAGTCATGACAAAGTCAAAGTCATTACAAAGTCAAATTCAATGCGAAGTCAAGCACAAACACTAAACCACACTACATGCTTCCAGCTCTTTGCAGAAAGAGGATACAATACCGGACTTCAGATATTTTATTCTTTGATGCAACATATTGAAAGATAATCACATTCATTCATTAAAAAGGATTTTCTTTTATTAAATAATGTAGAGGTTGAGGAGAGGAAACAAAGGGTGATGCTAGCAATAAACTCTGTCTTGTGTCCAAAATGTCCTCTGAAACAGCCTTTGGCATTCCAGTGACACTCACACCAGCTGCTTGTACCCAAACTGACATCATAAATTTCTAAATAAGACACTTGATTTTTTTTTAACTGTATACTCTACAGATAAGAGTGAGCTACCTTACATAATCTAGAGTTATCGCTTTTGAATGAGAAGCAGAATTAAAAACTGGAATTTTCTATTTTTAAAGTACTTAACATACCAGTGTCCAAATAAAGATTGGAGGGATACTGAGAACAGGGAACAAATTGAGGTTTGTTATTCGCAGTTACGTTACATGGTTGGAAGCTCTTCCGATGGCTTGGGTGGTAAAGGCAGTACCTGGAGTGAAAATCAGCTGGACAGATCAGGAGGCTCCACATTGACCCTCCATCTGTGCTGACTCAGACAAGGGCAGCAATTGGGAAGCTACAATTAGCCTTGGAGTCTCTTCGCTAGGGAGGGAATATAATTCAGACACTAGGGTTGTCACTTGCTCTAAAATCCAATATAGTTATTGGGTGAACCTAAGATCGATTAAATAGCCTGCTGAAACTCATTGTCGGGGTGAGGGGAATCACATGAACCATTGCCCGTTAGATGTATGATATGGGAAGATGGATGCCAGTATATGCCAGTGCTTTCAAGAGAGACCAGGAGAGGAAACAAAGGAATATAATCACTATCCCCACAGTGATGAGTTTTGATGTAGGTCATGTTTCTTAAAATAACCACCCACAAACCACTCTGAACTATTGCTATCCAGTCACCGATGCAGCAAAGTGCACACAATGTTCGTGCAAGCAAAAGGCAACTTTTTACCATTGGAGCAAAATTCTTTTGCATTAAGTGGAAGTTTGAACTTATGGCCGACTGCTAATATTTTACATATTCAAAATATCTAGCCCCTGGTAACGAGAGGTAACATTTATTTCACAAGTTTGTAGTTAACTGAGGTTTAACACACAAGCAAGTTGGAAGCCATTGACAAGTGTCATGCCAATCTCGGCTAACACGCACAGCACATGTGGTGGGCAACAGCAGTTTGTCAGCCCATTCCCAGGCCATGGGCAATGGAACACAGTGCCTGAAATACGCCGCCTAGTGGTCAGCGTGGGAAATAACAAACATCATTGCACAGTTAAGTCAGGAATGCAAGATTACTAAAAAAAAAGGATGTTTTCTGCTCCTGAAATTGCTTGGAAGCCGGATGAGAAATAGGGTTGGGCTTAGGGCCTCACAATCAAATAATAAGAAGAACAGCAAGCAACTAAGAAGGAGAACGGCATTTAGCGTTCATCGCAAAAGGTTTAGAGTACAAGAGTAGGAAGTCTTGCTGCAACTGTATAGTTTTGGTCTCCTTATTTAAAAAAGTACATACTTGCCCTCGAGGGAGTGCAGCGTAGATTCACTCGGTTAGTTCCTGGGATGAGGGGACTGACCTATGAGGATAGGCTGAATAAACTGGGGCTGTATTCTCTGGAGTACAGAAGAATTAGGGGAGATCTTATTGAAACATATAAGATTCTTAAAGGGCTGATAAAGTAGACACTGAGGGTCTGTTTCCCCGGTAGGAGAATCTATAACCAGGGGTCACAGTCTGAAAATTAAGGGTCAGCCTTTTAGAACAGAGTTGAGGAAACATTTCTTCACTCAGAGAGTAGTGAATTTATGGAATTCACTCCCCCAGAAGGCAGTAGATGCTCAGTCCTTGAACATCTTCAAGGCTGAGACCGATAGATTTTTTAAAAAAAGAGGGATTAGGGAATAAGGGATAGGCAGGTAATTAGAGTTAGGTCTGAAGATCAGCCATGGTCTTATCGAATGGCGGGGCACAGGCTCGAGGGGCCGTATGGCCTACTCCTGCTCCTAATTCTTATGTTCTTATGTTCTAACATAAGAATTTGCTAGGCGAAAGAAGACCAAGGTTCATCCAGTTTGCCTTCCACCATCCTGGCAGTCGCATGACATAATACATTTGATATAGCGCCTTTTCACGTTATCAAAACGTCTCAAAGAGCCTCACAGAATATATTGCAAAGTGAATTGACTGTATATTTTTGTGGGCAAAAATAACTCTCACCTAAGAACAAAAATAACCCAATAACTCTGATCTTGGAGCAAAACTAAAAACAAGTTGGGCATCCTGGAGATCCGGAAGGTGGGAAATGCTGAACTGGTTTGAACAGAGTGTTGGCAAAAGGCTAGCGGAAAAATATTTTTGCTGAGTTTAACTCAAGCAATAACCAAGAGAAACTGGATGTTTGTTATTTACACGAGCCTGTAAAATGCAAACCTTTCACCAGCAGTAAACACGTTGCTGCCAAATGTTATTTAAATGCCACTCATTCCCTGCCTCTGTACCGCTAGATTATGAAAACACACACACTTACCAACAAGCCTCCTGAGGCCTAAGGGCTGATGTGTATCATTACCCTAGCTCAACAAATGTGATTTAAACACGTCAGTGCCCATCCTACTGACTCATGCCTTGTGGCCAAAGCTACCAGTACAAATTTGGAATAAGTTACACCTCCTTCTTAACTAAAATAATATTATAATCCTTGCATTTTACATATAGTACCTTACCATGTCATTGAGAACATACTATATCGTGAATTGACTGTGTATTTTGTGGGCGAAATACAGCAGCCTTTTACGAACAACAGTGTCCCACAAACAGTCGTGGATTGAGTGACAAAATTATTTTTTGTTGTTGTAAACTATTCCAGTTTACAACATTTGTAGTACGTTTTCACAGATGGTATTTTTTGAATGCATTATGACGTTGTGAAATAATGAGGTAAAAAGACGCAATATTTTACAACTGATTCAATGTCATAATTAACACAATGAAATATTGTGCTTTTCTGTCCTGAATTGTATTTTACACCCTTTCAATAAACTGAAATACAGCTTCTAAACATTATTAGCATTATCTTATTTACAAAATAGTCCACAAAAGTGTCTGGAATAACAGCAAAGTTACTGTTCTTCTTGCAAATCAATTGAACAGTTTTTCTTAAGAACCTGGAAGATGTAAAATGGTGAGTAAGCAACACGGAAGGAATACGGGAACAGAGGAATAGGATTCTTTTCCTCCTTCCACAGTTCTGGCATTACTGGTACAACTGTAAAGAAAACTGCATGGTTAATAGAGATGCAAAGGGAAACCAAATGGTGGTCATTTGAAATAAATAGAGAGAAAACTACAAAGAGAGAAGTAAGTTAATAGTTTGGGTGCAGTTCTTCATACAAATGGCGGATTACTAGCATTTCTGATGTCATTTTCAATTCACAGCACACAATTTGAATGAAGGCCATATGAGTAGTGGCCTGTGGTACCAGTGGTTATATCCAGCAAAGGAAATGAAGTACTGTACTTCAAAGGGTAAAAGCCACGTATTAAAATCTCCTTTTGCTTAATGAAACTCGAATGTAGGCATAAGGCACATTTTAGCACAGGTGGAGGACGTTTGAGATAGTTCACTTCAGGACATGTGTGTAAATGTACATTCCATGGTCTCAGCCACAGAAGTGATATTCAATAACCTTGGATGCCTCTGTGTTGACTTTGGTTCCAAGTCCTGATGTGATTATATAGCAGGGAAGTTCGCAAGCCAAGAACGGAGTCACATGAGTTGGGATGAGCAAAAAGTCTCCAATGAAATTCAGGCAAAACCTCAAACACTAAAATCTATCATCTACCTGAGCTCTCAAGACAAAATAAATATTGGCTTTGTAACCTATTGTTTCCTTTATACCGTTAATAGCCACCTTGGAAGCTATGCTTCTCTGAGCCTCTGAATGGCTCTTTTTTCACTTCATTCTGTTTCACCCGACCAATTTGGATCAACTCCAATCTGGCTTAAATTTCTATCCTTATATGGACAGAAGTGTTGACATTACAACATTATTCCAAGACTACTGCTTGATGCTATTAATTCAGTAAACAGTTCAAATGACGTGATTTTTAATTAGCTACAGTCAAAAAACAAAACAAATATCTCACAATTTAACCCCCCACCATTCCACACAAGACTTTGTCCTCAAGGGAGACTGTGAATTTACAGCTGTCCCAAATTCATTCTTCTTCACAGTTACCTACAGGAAAGCTCATACAGTAAAAATAATTGCATTTAAAAATAATTGTATTTCTTTCACATGGGTTTGAAATGGTTTTGCTGCGCACCAAGTGTGCAGTCAGGGAATGTCAAGCTTTCTGCTGCTAATAAATTTGCTGCCGGAAGCATAATCTACTCATTGTTCAGCCTCACCCAGTTGACTTTTACCTCTGGTTCAATTTGGTTTTAAAAAAAACAGAAGTGCCAACGGATATTCATTGGCCGTTTAAACAGATTTGTTCCAAAGTCTCGGTTTGCTGTCACTATTTCTGCTGTCATATTTGTTTTCTAACAGATAGG